TAACGACCATACATTAATACAGACTTTAGACAATCCTTGAGCTAGGACTGGTGTGATGTTTGTTTTTGATGGGTTTGCGTGTTGATGAACAAGACAGTATTTGGGCCACAACGTTTATTGCATACCACTCTGATCCTTACAACTTAAGGCAGATTATTCCCAAATTGGTATTTACCAACAGTATTTTCTTGATAGGCTCATAGTTGTTAAACAAACTGTAAACACTACAATCAGTTTGTTGACTGGGGCCCAGACTACAGACATGCCTCACTGATTAGTTAAGTGCACTACACAGACACAAGTCTGCTAGTTAACTCTTCAATTGCCAACAGAAGCAATACATGCACATAAGATTAATGAAAGAACAATATTTGCTTCTATATACTTTGTGTACATTGTAACTTTGTTCAAGAAAGCCCTCAAGTTTGATTACTTGTACAATGTGAGACAAGCTTACCATCTTGTATCTTGTAAAATGTGAGACAAGCTTACCATCATGTACATTGTGATACAAGCTTACCATCACGTACAATGTGAGACAAGCTTACCATCTTGTACAATGTGATACAAGCTTACCACCTTGTACAATGTGAGACAAGCTTACCATCTTGTACAATGTGAGACAAGCTTACCATCTTGTACAATTTGAGACAAGCTTACCATCATGTACAATGTGATAAAGCTTACCATCTTGTACAATGTGAGACAAGCTTACCACCATGTACAATGTGAGACAAGCTTACCACCTTGTACAATGTGAGACAAGCTTACCACCATGTACAATGTGAGACAAGCTTACCATCTTGTACAATGTGAGACAAGCTTACCATCATGTACAATGTGAGACAAGCTTACCACCTTGTACAATGTGAGACAAGCTTACCATCTTGTACAATGTGAGACAAGCTTACCATCATGTACATGTACAATGTGAGACAAGCTTACCACCATGTACAATGTGAGACAAGCTCACCACCATGTACAATGTGAGACAAGTTTACCATCATGTACAATGTGAGACAAGCTTACCATCATGTACATGTACAATATGATAAAGCTTACCACCATGTACAATGTGAGACAAGCTCACCACCATGTACAAGCTTACCACCATGTACAATGTGAGACAAGCTTACCACCATGTACAATGTGAGACTCCATCCTGTCTACTAATGTGATACAAAGACTCCCACCTACTATATTGTATGCCAGTACAATGTGAGACAAGTTTACCACCATGTACAGTGTGAGACTCCATCTTGTCTACTATATTGTATGCCAGTACAGGTTGTTGCAATAATACAGATAACATATGTCTTTGTACAACACTGATATCAAGAGGTAATCCCGAGAAATGTAATATACCGGGTAGATATACATAAATATACAATACAACACAGAAAACTTTTATTCAATATCAAAATAACTGATATATCTCCTTAAATCAGTATCATTGTGTTGCAACCTGATTTCCCCAGTTTCAAAACCAATGTTTAGTAAAATGGTAAATTGTTGTCAGCTAAGCAGTACGTATACATAGCATTATCCATATGACATATTTTTAGCATGTAAGCCAATCAAAATGCTTGTTGGGCACCGTTATCATCCATCAGGCAGTCAGTCTCATGCTTCTTAAGTTGGGTATATATTAGGACTTCAGTATATACTACTGAACATAAATGAATGGTTTAAAAATAAAATAGTCCAACAGTGTATAAAAGATGGATAAACATTCTCACCTGACTATATGTACTTGTGAAATAAATTAGCAATGTATAATAAATAATGCATATGAAATGTTTTTGATTTGGCTCAAGGTGGAATCAATAAATGCTAAATCCCTGTTAATACTTCAAAAATATAATTTGATCTTTTAAGACAAATTTAAAAGTCTGAAAAATGATAAAAAACATGCTCCTCCCTCTATGGGATCCAAGCAGTTAACAATGAAGCTTGCAGGATCACTAGACGAGCTGGACTGATTGTATACATGCAGAACACTGCAGAGTTTAACTTGTGTTTTGAGAGCTGTCTCTTTTTCCAACATGAATTTTAAAAATAATATCAAAAAGCACGTAAAATATATATTCAGCCCCATGTGGTGTGTTGCCAAAACATAAATTTTCTTTAAATGGGCGCTCTAGTGTTCCAAATTATCATCTTTTAGTTGTTAAATTATCACTTTTCTGTTTCTTAATAAACTGCTGAATTGTTCAGACTTGGCGGAGATTCTGGTTGAAAATAATATTTATGTGTCACATAATCCATTTCTCATGATATCAATCCACCAAATTTCCGAGATAAGGGCCAGTTACCCATACTGTTCAGAATACTGACCTATGTTAGTCGGAAATGAAGGGTCACATGATTCTACTTTACAAGGTCACTGATCCTGACTCTCGTCATCTGATGAATTAACGGAGTGGCATGTTTCAGTGTTTAAACTTCATTGACCAATCAGGCTTAATGCTCTCTCAGATACCCCATCAAGTTAACAGGTGTTAGAAACCTAACTTTGTTGAATTTAGCAAAGAAATGTCCCCCCAATTTAAGAACTGACAATGATTTGGGTTACATTCAGAATTTAAAAAAATATCTTCCTTTTTTTCAGTTGCAAGAAAATAATAATGTTTTGGGAGATGTAAATAATAATGATTATTTGGAGATGTGCAGAAACATAATGCTCTCATTTTGAATGTGGGGCGGTGGGGTAGCCTAGTGGTTAAGGCGTTTGCTTGTCACACTGAAGACCCAGGTTTGATTCCCCAGATGGGCACAATGTGTGAAGCTCATTTCTGGTGTCCCTTGCCGTGATATTGCTGGAATATTGCTAAAAGTGGCGTAAAACTAAACTCACTCACTCATTTTGAATGTTGCAGAGGTATCAGCTCTGCCCATGACAACTGATGCAGGTTCTCCAAATACATGTTCAAAACATGCAAATGGTTCCGCATAGTTTAGGAAACTTAGACAAAACTTTGGCAAAAGAGAGCGAGTGAGACAGAACAAACCAGTACATCATGCTTTGAGTTACTGAACCTATAGCAGTTCCTTAGCAGCTCTAAAACATCAATATGTAACATGAAATTCATGACAGTTCTGCTGAGCTGGAAGAACTAAGAAGATTAATAGAGGAGAGATCTGTTGTATTTGGCATCAGCTGGCTCCAGATATGTTGGACTTCAACACCTGTATGGAGCCGCTGCATATGGACCTAAGTCCCATCCATATCTATATATTATTATGTACAAACAGGGACCTATGAAGGCATCCAAACCAGAGACCATATAATAGATTATGATATGGTCACTGTTCAAACTAAGCGTCCTTAGTGTGAAATTGGAAAACGGTTGGTAAATTGAGATATTCAGACCCTTTTCAAAATATAGCTATTACTATCAGTTGTATATTAACAATGCTTTCAATGCAATGATCTGAACTAAACCTCTTTCTTATTACACCCTGACCTTATTACTTGTATTATCAGTGAAATACAACACACCCTGACCAAGCCATAATGTTACTGGGAACATCTTCTGTCTGTAGATAGAAGTAGATAAATAGTAGATAAATCCCTTGAAGCAGGCAGTTTCTGTATTTCAGTGTTCTCAATGTGTTCCGAATGATAGAAGTTATAAAACCTTTAGTTCTTCAAAGATTGCTGTGGGCCTATTACAAAGAAGAAATATCATTAGGGCTGTCTGGTGTTACAAAGGCCACACGCTTACAGGAGAAGCCATCTGATGTATTCATTTGTAGCCAGTCAAAATACTGATGAACTGTCATTCATATATAGTCAGACAGTATCCGAAACAAACACAGGCACCTGGTCAGAAACATGACCCTTTGGAAAACTCCAGTATGGATAGGAGGAGTCGTCCACTGAATGCACTCCAGACATGACCACAAGAATGGACACTGTATTTGGATTTGTATGGGCTACCCCCACAGTGTCAACTGATGCACTGATTTACACAGCAGCTCAGCACCTTGCGATGGGGATAAAGGCATCTTTCTAAATAGTCTTCTGCTCTGTCACATTGGGTTCAACACAAAACATCAAGGCACACTTCTCTGCATCACAAACAGTTTCATCTGTAACCAATGTGTACACACATCAACCCATGAAGGCACTGTTGATAACCTCAGCAGCAGCATCTCCCTATGTGCAATAGCTGTACTAACTTCCTCCTCAGTCTGTGATGAGAGTTATTGTGATCACATGGGAGCACCTGTTCTCTTGTGGTGATCACAGGCCTGATCTTCTGATGTCAGGGTGAGGTCTGTTTCTTACCAGACCATGAGGAAAAGTTCATCTTCAACATGCTGTGCTTGATGATAGCCTGTGAAAGTAGACAGTTTGTATTTAAGTAAGGTGAGATGACCATTCATATAGGATCAGATAAAATGATCCTTACCACAGGACAGGTCTGATGACCGGTAGCACAGTCGACTAGGTGAGATCACTATTCACACAGGACCAGGTAAGATGATGATTACCACAGGACAGGTGAGATGACCATTAGCACAGGACTAGGTGAGATAACCATTAGCACAGGACTAGGTGAGATGACCATTAGCACAGGACAGGTGAGATGACCATTAGCACAGGACAGGTGAGATGACCATTAGCACGGGACCAGGTGAGATGACCATTAGCACAGGACAGGTGAGATGACCATTAGCACAGGACCAGGTGAGATGACCATTAGCACGGGACCAGGTGAGATGACCATTAGACCAGGTGAGATGACCATTAGCACGGGACCAGGTGAGATGACCATTAGCACGGGACCAGGTGAGATGACCATTAGCACAGGACAGGTGAGATGACCATTAGCACGGGACCAGGTGAGATGACCATTAGCACGGGACCAGGTGAGATGACCATATGTCTGAGATGAGATGAGCCTGGGAGACATCAGTACAGGACAATGCTCTCCTCCTCCAGGAGACTGGATGGCAGGTAGATCCCCTTCCCCAGCCCTGAACTCCACGTCCATAGTCACATGTGAGACGAGGATCCCTGCATGTAGGAGTTCCGGCGGAAGTTCTCCACAGTGTGGGTGAGGTCTCGCTGAAACGTGTTGTGAGGGGGGCGACGTCGGTACTTGCCGTCGCTGGAGTCGGACAGCCGTGGCGGCATGTGCGCACGCGGAATATGGAGGGAGGGGAAGTCAGTGAATCGGGAATGGTATTTGTCCTGTAAAGAAAATAACACACATCCTATCGTAATGGAAACCATATTTCCTCAAAATATTTTTTCATGTATTTTTGGTCAAACATTTATTATTCATTTAAAGAAAAATTTACCGGTTTTGAATAGAAGGCTGCAAACCAATAAATTCAAAGTTTTAAAAGAGAATGAACGTGAAAATGTAAGAATTTTGAATTGCAAGTGAAGATCACCACTGTTCAAAAGACATGTCCACAAGATTCTAACTTTTACAAAATGATGTACGTTCCTCAACTCACATCTAATGAATAGTAGTTGTCAGACAGGTAGGAGTTGAAGATGTGCATCAGCCTCAGGTGGGACAGGTTCTCCTGGAAGTGGTTCAACACAGCGATGCCCTGGAAGTAAGCGAGTATGCAGTTGTCATTACAAATCAGTTTGATATTATAGTTTCCCTTTTCTGTAATTTACATGAGACATTATCAGTGAATGACATGGTTTATTCTTAAGAACATCTTAACATACAATTGTCTCCAAACCACAACTTCTGTAACTACCTATAACATTGTTGGATATTCTGTTACACACAAGGTAGTGTACATGTTCTAGAACTAAACAGATAATAACAATTTTACACAGAAATTGTAAATCTGAAAGGAATATCAATATTTAACAAAATAAACTTAACATTTGAACCAACTCAAAACAGCCATTTCAAACTTAGGAAAACTAGACCTAGTTGCTTTTGTGCATCTACCCTTTATCATCATCAAGCCTTAGGACCAACTTTTCTTCTAAATTCTTCATTATGCACAATACGTTTTGTCTAAATTTGTTATATTTGCAAAATTGTAAGTATTGCTACTTATGAAGGGAACTGATTTTTTAAAATTTAAATGTTTGGTGTCATAAATTCTCTGAAATACAACTGCTAGTGACGACAACCTGCTTCTATACTGAAGAAGCAGCATCAACAATGTCACCCTTTGGAAAATGAGACCAAGGGAGATAACTTTGCAGGGACAGACCTTTTACAGCACAGTCATCAGTGTAAAAACATTGAAGAGTTGCACATATGCATTTTGAACAATCCCAGTCATTGATATAATGTCATAAATTGATATAAAAAGTGGACATTATTTGCAGATTGACATTTCACTTTTCTTCATTTTCTTTTCATAAAAGACAATGGGTAATATAGAGAATAACCCATCAATACTCAGAATAATACTTATCTTTTTCTCATGATATCCCCGAGAAAAAAAGCCATTTAATTTTCTCGGAACAGGTAATCTGCAGTTCCTTGTTGCATATATTTTCTTTCAAGTTTTATATTTCACAAAAACAATAAAATACTGAATACAGAACTGATATTTACTCAGAGACAGATCTAGAATCAATATTGAAGTAGACTGTGACCAGAATATTTATAACAATGACAACTGGTGGTTCCAGGGCGGGTGTATACTCACAATGTACAGAGCCAGTACCAGTCCCATGGCGAAGCCCGTGGCCACGTCGGTCCAGTGGCTGCGACATAGGACGTACTCAGTGAGGCCACACAGGAGAGACAGCATTATAAAGATGAGAGACAGGAACGGACGCAGGATGCGAACTGTGTGTGCCCGCATGGCACCGTGGATGTAGATCTGATCACGGACAAGAGAAGACAACCAATGTTATACACAGCAATTCTTGCATCATGCTTACTTATTTATATCTTTTAAATATTGGCCTATAATCTAAATTAAAACTAAGATTAGAAAAGCATTGTCGGACTGACAATCTTCTTCTATATCATAATCTGTTAACCAGTGCATCAAATTTTCTTTCACTCATTATAGCATAACCCTGGTCTCAGTTACCAGAATATAGCACAGAGACGAAAAAACAAGAACATGATGTTATTTTTATGCTTTCAAAAAGCAGCGATTGGACCAATCCTCAAGTTTTGCATGTTATCTCAAATACAGCTCCAGGAACCTTTTCATAAGGACAATCCTGTCTTCTTATGCAGGAAACATCTCTCCCAGCTACATTTGTTTTCTGACTTGATCAACTATTAGACCTGATTAACTGTATGACCTGATCAACTATATGACAAGTTTGCTTAGATACTGTTGTGAACTGAAAGTAGATTTACACTGCACATTGATTGTATTCCTTGTCCACTTCTCTGCCTAAATACTGCACACAGAGACATGACTGACTAAACAGGCTGATTACTCACAGCTATAAATATGGCTGAGTAGGACGTCAAGGAGGCATTCAGGGAGGGAAATGACGTCCTGCAACATTGAGAAGAACATGAAAGATCAGGTTATATGAGAATGACAGACAACTATTTTTATGGCAGGGTGACAGACGTAACTTTACTGTGAGAGTGACAGACATTACTGTGAGGAGAAAGAAAGATGAAGTCTTTTAATCATCATCATGAAAACATTTATATAGAGCCAATTCCAGTCCAAAAGTACAGCTCAGTAGCGCTCTCCGAACAACTCCAGAATGAAAAGTTAGACACTGTATGTTTTCTTAAACAGGTATGTCTTCAGTTTGGATTTGAAAATCTTCAGATTGTTAATTGTCCTAACTCCAGTGGAAGATTTTTAATCTCAGTATTAATGAGAGAATGACAGATGAAAATATTAATGTCAGTGTCACAGACGAACATGCTTCTGTCGGAATGACAGACAGAACATTTAAACACACGGACGACAGTTGAAGATGTCTGAGTTTACTTTACTAACATGAGCATATACAATAATAAATAAAATATTGTTGAAGTTAATGAAGATAACTTAGTTATATTTATCTGTCATGGATTTTCCATGCTACTCATCTTCTAAGTGTGACCAAAGCACTACCTGTCAAATTACAGATACAAATTTCACATAAGATACATTTTTAACATAACAAATATATGTTATTTTCACTTTTTACCATGGAACTTCAGCCTTTCTAATTCACACAAGTTTTCTTTGATTGTTGTAACAATTCCTATATTTGATACAACTCATTGAAGTCAAAAATGACATGATTGATAAGAATAATGAAGCTCACCTGGCCTCCCTGAGGTCGAACTTGTTTGTGTTGAGACACATCTCGTCCCCACCGGTGGTGACGCAGCGGGTGTGGTTCAGCTGACACACTTCCAGGAAGTCGGGGCGTAGACGGCCCACGACCACCTTAATGATGTCCACAAAGACCATCAGTGCAAAGGCTCCGAACAGAAACACTCCTGGAAACAGGAACACAAATAAGTAACAGCTAACAACGAAATTTTGCCACTGGAAGTAACTTCGTCACGATGCTGCTCAGAGTAGCAATAATGAAGCAGGATCATGATAGCATCTCGCTTTTCTGGTAATTTTAGTTCATATCCTAGTACAAAAATATTGTTTTTGTTTTTTTCTAATCATAAAACGCATTTCATCTAAAAATTTCATTTACTGCGGAGCATAAATGTGTTAATGCTAGATCTGCACTGCAGTATTGTAATGCAGCATCTCACACAGACTGGTTCTTTGCTGTCTGTGCCTTGCATCATGTTTATGATGATTTACAGAGAGAAATATTTGCCATGAGGCATTCTGAACAAGGTTGTCATGGTGGCATGTTTCGATCTCTAGTATCTTAACACAGTATGCAGTAATGGCCTTATTACATATTATGTCGTCACATGTCCATTAGAACTGGAACAAGGAAAAGACAGAATAACCTCTAGACGTCTAAACTTTGTCTTGCATTATATACCGACAAATGACATTCACAATATTCCCAATAGCATTTGTAGTAGAAATGTAAACAAATAATTGAAAGTCACAAGAGCAGAAATATCACGGTGCTAACATATTCACATCTTCTTGAAAGCACGAATATCACATAATCAAGTTTCTTTCATCACAGTACAGATAACCATCATCCCACAGAAAAACTCCTTTGTGGTTCTTAATTCCAATAATATTCCACTTAATTATAATCCTCTTCACAATACATACTCATATCTTTAGTGGTTCTTACATGTCATGACTGTCAAAATTATCACTGAAATTTTGTAGTCCTTAATTCTCATAATATTCCATTAATCATAATCCTTTGTACCCTCCCTGTTAAGCTGTGTGGTATGTATAACAGTAACTACTCAACACTCAGCCCCTCACTACCACTGATGTTGCACAACGCACTGCTGGCACAAGTGTAGCAGCTGTCAGTCCTGTATGCATGCTTCCATCTTAAATACTTACCAGTAATTTGTATTGACCTTAAACCCAAGTTATTTTTGTACTACTATAATTTTTTGTACAATATTTTGTTGTTATTTGTTGGTTTCACAATTATTTGCTGTGTAGATTTCCGATTTTACTTATTGTTTCAACTTGGAAGTTCAGACATGCAGTAGCATGCACTCCCAATCCTACATATACATCTACCCTTCTACCGTGGTCCTAAACCTAATGGTACTCCCAATCCTACATATACATCTACCCTTCTACCGTGGTCCTAAACCTAATTGTACTCCCAATCCTACATATACATCTACCCTTCTACCGTGGTCCTAAACCTAATTGTACTCCCAATCCTACATATACATCTACCCTTCTACCGTGGTCCTAAACCTAATTCTGTACTCCCAATCCTACATATACATCTACCCTTCTACCGTGGTCCTAAACCTAATTGTACTCCTAATCCTACATATACATCTACCCTTCTACCGTGGTCCTAATCCTAATTGTACTCCCAATCCTTCAGCCATATACATCTATCCCTTCTACCCTTCCGTGGTCCTACTCCTAATTGTACTCCCAATCCTACATATACATCTACCCTTCTACCGTGGTCAATCCTACATATACATCTACCCTTCTGGATCCTAATTGTACTCCCAATCCTACATATACATCTACCCTTCTACCGTGGTCCTAATCCTAATTGTACTACCAATCCTACATATACTTCTACCCTTCTACCGTGGTCCTAAACCTAATTGTACTCCTAATCCTACATATACATCTACCCTTCTACTGTGGTCCTAAACCTAATTGTGCCCACATCACAACAAATTGTCTCACTCTTCCTTCAGCCCCAAACCAATTGCCACTCGCCTCTTCCTCTTAACACTTTGAAGGACTCCAGTAAAATGGAGGCTGACCAGTTCATTCTGCACCCTGCCTCCTAACTACACCACCCTTGACACTCTCCAAACCCAAACATGCTCCATCTAATTGTCACATTGCTCAAATATGCTGTTGTTGTGTCAACTATTTACATACTGACTATTACTCTATGGGTATTTCCTAGAAGTTAATGCATGACAAAGTAGACAAAGTTTATCGATAACAACTTCTTTATTGAACTGTCATGTTTTGATATAGATCTATTTACTGTTGCAAAGCAATGGATACGGCCGCTATCCATAATTATGTTAACTTTGACCCATTCACTACCCATGTGACCCCAACCAATCCTAAAATCTCCTGCGTCAAACCTACCTATCCTTAGTTCTCATGTGCCCATCATAACCACTATTAGTTCTCATGTGCCCAAACCTACCTATCCTTAGTTCTCATGTGCCCCAACATAACCACTATTAGTTCTCATGTGCCCAAACCTACCTATCCTTAGTTCTCATGTGCCCCAACATAACCACTATTAGTTCTCATGTGCCCAAACCTACCTATCCTTAGTTCTCATGTGCCCCAACATAACCACTATTAGTTCTCATGTGCCCAAACCTACCTATCCTTAGTTCTCATGTGCCCCAACATAACCACTATTAGTTCTCATGTGCCCAAACCTACCTATCCTTAGTTCTCATGTGCCCCAACATAACCACTGTTAGTTCTTATGTTCCCTAACCTAAACCTACTCATGTGCCCATTAGTTCTATTAGTTATCATGTGCCCCAACATAACCACTAGTTCTTAGTTCCCTAACCTACCCATAGTGACACAACATAACCACTATTAGTTCTCATGTGCCCAACATAACCACTATTAGTTCTCATGTGCCCTAACATAACCACTTTTAGTTCTCATGTGCCCATCATAACCACTGTTAGTTCTCATGTGCCCTAACATAACCACTGTTAGTTCTCATGTGCCTATCATAACCACTGTTAGTTCTCATGTGCCTATCATAACCACTGTTAGTTCTCATGTGCCCCAACATAACCACTGTTAGTTCTTATGTGCCCTAACCTACCCATCCTCAGTTTTCCTGTGCCCCAACAACCTATCCACCCATAGCATGTCCCAACTCACCCTTAGTTCTCACATGCCCCAACCAGCTCACCCTTAGTTCTCATCACATGCCAACTCACCCACCTTAGTTCCACACATTAGTTCCCCAACCAACTCACCCTTAGTTCTCACATGATCCAACTCACCCTTAGTTCTCACATGATCCAACTCACCCTTAGTTCTCACATGATCAAACTCATCCTTAGTTCTCACATGATAAACTCACCCTTAGTTCTCACATGATCAACTCACCCTTAGTTCTCACATGATCCAACTCACCCTTAGTTCTCACATGATCCAACTCACCCTTAGTTCTAATGTCCCCCAATCCAGGCCACCCAGTACTCTGTTCACCTCTGGCAGCCCCACCCACAGACCTTTCCTCTCCACATATACTCTCCCCCACCTTTCTGTCGACCTTTCATCCCGCTCCTCTCCCATCATGTGTTTACCCTTCACCCTCCATCAAAGTCCAGGTGTCATGGCCGTCCTACCTATAAATCGCAGCAGACGGCGACAGACCTGCGGCATAGTACAGTGTTTGCTGAGGAGTCTCACCGGCTTCTGGGGCTCGGAACTGAAGGTGTACATCCCAATTTCGCCGATTAACACCTGCAAAAGAGGATAAATAGCCAATATTTGAAACCTGCTGGCCGTCAACATCAGTGTTTGGCAGTCACGCAGATCACAACAGATGGCGGCAAGCCAGGTGTACTCTGATTGTACCAGGGCCATTCTCTGCCCAGATCCTCATCTCCTTGTGACTCAGTGTTTGTCAGCCCCCTCGGAACTCGCTTTCCTAACATACCAACATCATCCGACACAGGTACACGTAACAATGTACATTTGGGTGGATGGTGTCGCGACTATGATAAGCTTGACAGAAATGTGGCACCCATCTTGTCATGAGCTGCTGCACATCTGCCTCCTCTTCCCCACCCCATCCCCAAACCCTGATGATCCCCTACCTGTATAAGGTAAATGTGACCCTCCCACCAGTGTATGAAACTACAGTGTTCCCCCATCTTTCTCTGTCATCCCCAAGTATTATATTGTGTCATTATTTAAAGGATCAAAATTGTTTCAATACTTTTTACATCTACTCTGTTAATTTCCTTCAAATAACAAGTAGTCAGTGAATGAAAGAACACAGAATAATGAATTTGTTTTAACAAAGAATGGATTTATAATTTGTCATACTGTGGTTGGTCAAGCAGTAAGAATTAAAAAAATAATTCTGTTTTTCTTCAGAATATGGAGAAATACTCAGATCATAGGTGTTGGGGTGTGTGTGTTAGTGTTGAGTGTTAGTTTTTGGGAGTAGGGGTGGGGGTGTGTGTGTTGGTGTTATCCAACTCACCTGGTGTGTGTGTGTTGGTGGTAGTTTTGGGACTTAGTTCTCACATGATCCAACTCATCCTTAGTTCTCACATGATCCACCTCACCTCCCTTAGTTCTCACATGATCCAACTCATCCTTAGTTCTCACATGATCCAACTCACCCTTAGTTCTCACATGATCCAACTCACCCTTAGTTCTCACATGATCCACCTCACCCTTAGTTCTCACATGATCCACCTCACCCTTAGTTCTCACATGATCCACCTCACCCTTAGTTCTCACATGATCCAACTCACCCTTAGTTCTCACATGATCCAACTCACCCTTAGTTCCCACATGATAAACTCATCCTTAGTTCTCACATGATCCAACTCACCCTTAGTTCTCACATGATCCAACTCAGTCTTAGTTCTCACATGATAAACTCATCCTTAGTTCTCACATGATCCAACTCACCCTTAGTTCTCACATGATCCAACTCACCCTTAGTTCTCACATGATCCAACTCACTCTTAGTTCTAATGTCCCCCAATCCAGGCCACCCAGTACTCTGTTCACCTCTGGCAGCCCCACCCACAGACCTTTCCTCTCCACATATACTCTCCCCCACCTTTCTGTCGACCTTTCATCCCGCTCCTCTCCCATCATGTGTTTACCCTCCATCAAAGTCCAGGTGTCATGGCCGTCCTACCTATAAATCGCAGCAGACGGCGACAGACCTGCGGCATAGTACAGTGTTTGCTGAGGAGTCTCACCGGCTTCTGGGGCTCGGAACTGAAGGTGTACATCCCAATTTCGCCGATTAACACCTGCAAAAGAGGATAAATAGCCAATATTTGAAACCTGCTGGCCGTCAACATCAGTGTTTGGCAGTCACGCAGATCACAACAGATGGCGGCAAGCCAGGTGTACTCTGATTGTACCAGGGCCATTCTCTGCCCAGATCCTCATCTCCTTGTGACTCAGTGTTTGTCAGCCCCCTCGGAACTCGCTTTCCTAACATACCAACATCATCCGACACAGGTACACGTAACAATGTACATTTGGGTGGATGGTCGCGACTGGTATCGCTTGACAGAAATGTGGCACCCATCTTGTCATGAGCTGCTGCACATCTGCCTCCTCTTCCCCCACTCCCATCCCCTGGTCCCCCAAACCCTGATCCCCCCTACCTGTATAAGGTAAATGTGACCCTCCCCACCAGTGTATGAAACTACAGTGTTCCCCCATCTTTCTCTGTCATCCCCAAGTGTTATATTGTGTCATTATTTAAAGGAACAAAATTATTTCAATACTTTTTACATCTACTCTGTTAATTTCCTTCAAATAACAAGTAGTCAGTGAATGAAAGAACACAGAATAATGAATTTGTTTTAACAATGGATTTATAATTTGTCATACTGTGGTTGGTCAAACGGTAAGAATTAAAAAAATAATTCTGTTTTTCCTCAGAATATGGAGAAATACTCAGATCATAGGTGTTGGGGTGTGTGTGTTGGTGTTGGTGTTAGTTTTGGGAGTAGGGGGGTGGGATGTGTGTGTTGGTGTGTGTGTTGGTGGTAGTTTTGGGAGTAGGGAGGTGGGGTGTGTGTGTGTGTTGGTGTGTGTGGTGGGGGTGTGTTGGGAGTAGGGAGGTGGGTGTGTGTGTGTGTGTGTTGGTGTTGGTGTTAGGTTGGAGGGGGTAGGTGGGTGGTGTGTTTGTGTTGGTGTTAGTGTTGGTTTGGGGGAGGTGGGTGGGTGTGTGTGTGTGGGTGTGGGGGGTGTGTGGTGTGTGTGTGTTGGTGTTGGTGTTAGGTTTGGGAGTAGGTGGGTGGGGTGTGTGTGGTGGTTGGTGTTAGTTTTGGGGTAGGGGTGTGGGGTGTGTGTGTTGGTGTTGGTGTTGGTGTTAGTTTGGGGGAGTAGGTGTGGTGTGTGTGGTGGTGTGTGTGTTGGTGTTAGTTGGTGGGGTAGGTGGGTGGGGGTGTGTGTGTTGGTGTTAGTTGGGGTTTAGGGGTGGGGTGTGTATGTTGGTGTTGGTGTTAGTTTTGGGGGTAGTGGGGTGATATGGGGTTTGCATAACCTGCACATCACACCCCAAACACGTGCACCAGACTCCCGTTACATTACAGAATGTGAAATAACATGTAAAGGAATCCGTTTCTGTTGGGACCAAACCTTTTAATACAGGTCATTCATAATTACAAGTTCAATCAGTGATATACACTCAGCAAAAAGAGAAATACAAAAGTAGAACAATTGGAAATATCTGACAGAGCTTTGCTGATGTTCATACGAAATATGAATTTTTCATGTGTGCATGAATCAAGAGTGATGTGTGAGAGAGGTGTATGACCTATAAATACTGTAAAAGTGGGAGTTTAGCAGCAAAACACACCAACATGTAATGAGCAGGTAACATGAACTGTTGGCTATTGTTGGTGGGTTTTCATTTGTCTGCCATCACAGTTCTACACCAAGTGAAAACTTTTGAAAACGAATGACATAAGCTCAGCGCAACGCAACAGCCGTCTACAGACACGTGACACACAGTGACTGAGCCTCAGCTGTAGCCAGTTGTTTTTCATGTATTGCCAGGCACCATTACAGTTTGAATAATGGAATTATTTATTATGATCTGTTGATTTATAATACATAAAGCAAAAACAGCAAAAACTTCTGAAAAACATTTTTGCGTTTCTTTTTTATCAGAGTATAGTTTGTTGTTTTAAACTGTCCAAGCTGATGGGTCATCTGACTATTGGGATCTGAGGTCATCAGTTAATGATGGAGATTACGATCTTATCATGTTGGATACAGATCTTGAATCAATATCATCCTTCCTAGCAACATAACAAATACTGATTATACAACAGAAAGAAATATAAACACAAATATTTTTCTACACCATCATGTACCGCCTATGCAGGTGTTTTGACAGTTTAAACTAACCCCTGTTTTCAAATTCCATGTTTTGGTGTTGACCTTGAGCTATAGCTACTAATGACTTGTGTCACCATTGTCTTTCTTCTCCACAATCTCCTTGACTCCTGGCCGCTTATCTGACCCAGGTCATAATCCCGTCACAACACGACTGCCAATTAAAAACGTCCCACCAGTTGGGAGAGAACATCACAAGCCTCCACATCAATGGAGGTAAGTCATGTTAAACCTGCTGCAGCCGGACCAACATGTTGTCTGTATACCCAGGTAGCCCCATGCTGATGTAATGTTGACGTCTGCTTTACGAGAAAGTGTCCTTCAATACTGTAGAGGCAAACACTGCTACAGTCACAAGCTTACCTCACAGGAACAAGTAACGTTAAACAAACCTTGAAGATTGTTGTAGAATTCCGAAAGCACATTGGCTTCAATTAAACTAATTTTAACATTGAGAAATAGGTCATTTATTGTGTAAAACTTGATCTTTTGGGGACAGAAGTTACAACAAATTGTTGACTGTAGCTGTCAAGACGGAAAAATCAGATTGTGTCCTACTTATTGTGTAGATGAGAGTTGCGCAGACAAGAACTCAATTTGACTTTGATTCAGGATTCATAGATATAATTATAATCAAGTATTATCCATAAGGGTAGAATGACTAGATATTATGACATTTGCGTATTAGCATTTTAGTGATTCTCCACACCAAGTCTCCATTAAGGCTGCAATTGATATCACAGTGCTATAGTGTACTATGATGTTCTCCATTTGAACTGATTATATTATGTCATCTGAGCTTGAGTTTAGTTTTACACCGCTCTTAGCAATATTCCAGCAATATCATGGCGGGGGACACCAGAAATAGGCTTCACACATTCTGCCCATGTCGGGAATCGAACCCAGGTCTTCGGCGTGACGAGTGAACGCTTCAACCACTAAGCTACCCCACCACCCTATCTGAAGTTGAACTTAGGGATATGCAAATATATATTATAGCTAACTGCTTCATAGCATGTTATATACTATGCACTAAAATCAGCACTGAAGCTCACCTGAATACCGAGGACTTAAGGAGGACTAAAAACTAAAGCTAAATCTATATGAACAAAATATGACCTCATCATTAACAATAACATAAATGTTCTGCTCCATCAGCCTGACAATTTAAGTTTGCTGAACTAAACATGTTGTTTAAGAGTTTTTTTAGCATGATTTTAAGAAGATGAAAATGTACAATATTGACAGTAAAAGAAGAATATATTGAATCTACAACTACCTAATGGATACCAACTTCAGTTACATGCTGTACAATCTTGCAAATATTGCAGAGTAAAACTGCAAGAGACAAGTTACCTATTGAAAAACAGATTTGGCAATATTCAGGTGTCATCACTAGATGTAACAAGCACACGAAGGTTCTGTATGGAGATATAATCTCTAGAAGTGTATTTTGATTCTCTTTTTTTTAGCATGATCAAAGTGCAAAGGACCACCCTGTAGAAACCTTCCAAATCGACACTAATTTAAATACCATTTATCTAAAGTGATCATCAATGAAAAACTCATGGAGATATAAGGAGTATAGTCTACTTACAACAAATGGTCACTTGTAACTTGTATTATACCGCATACTACATGATGTATAGCAGTCTACTACACACAACAAATGGTGGTACACAGAAGCTGAGAGCGTAAAAACACTTGTATATTATACCGCATACACTGCCTCATTTACACAGAAGGAAGCCTGGCCTCATTTGGAACCTGGGCATTGAAGGCAAAGTCAGCCATTAGGGCTCTGGCATCCTTTGAGCAAGAGATTTCAGGATCTGTACAGGAAAAGTTCTGCCTGCGGAGCGGGAAGATGTCTGTCCATCTGTAAATACATAATCACAACTACACAAAGGAACCGAAATATCACCATTTTAAACTCTTGTGCACGGATTCATCAATATGAAAAATAAATGTTTTAACACTTGCATAGAAGTATTAGCTTTTTGTCAGTAGATACAGAGTAGTATAGGATATTAAAGCACATTTGGGAAGAAAATGAACAAAAACGTTGAGTAAAATATTGTCAAGAAATTGCCATCAGGAATATAGTTGTATCCCTTTAAACGATTCAAATGCATGTTAAGAGCACTTTTAAACCATGTGAGGTTTCCTTGTGTTGGAACCTGTATCAGATGTTCCAAGTACCAGTGGTCGACTTTGTCAGATTAGGTGATCAGATAGGCTGGAATGCATGTCACCAAACACCAGTTGTAAGGATTGATGCTCATGATTTCAGCCACATGGTTTGCCTGAGTATTTACTGGCAGTCCACTGTGTTTATACAACATTCCCTCACTCACTCACAGACATGGGGTAAAGACATCTTACAATAAGACTCCATCTATTGCTGACATCAGAAACTGCCCACAATGTAGTATCAATGTCATAATTCCAGTGGAACAAAACCAAACCACAGGACCTTCGTCCTTAAGGACCTGCTCCCTGAGCCCAAAGTGACAAGTTTCCTGTAAAACTCTTCAACAATTGAACCCACACGAAAAACAATACAAATAATCAGAAAAAATATGCTGAGTTTGCAATCTGCATTAAATAGCATGTATCCTTTAAACTGCCAGATATGGCAAATGTTTGTGCTTGGTTGATCTATGTTGCTATGCTAAGCTATGGATTAACTTGTAATATCTTCATTGTCAAGATCATCCTTACATTATTTTTACATGAAAAACCTTTTTTAATGGAAACTAACAGATACATTGTATGCTCATATCTCTTTTACAAAAAATCGGAAATGTCACCTCCTTAAAAAATATAACTTAAAATATAATCTTATTTCTTTACTAGTAAATTGAAGGGTAATCCTGGGATAAGGGGATCTCCTTGCCGATATGGCCAAAATTTAAAAATAAAAATGTCGGAGATGTGACTGTTAAAGAAGATCTATTTCTGCATCCCTAGATATAAACCTTTGTTTATCATACATGGCAAACATACGATCTGGAAGCCCAAAGAAAAACAGCTAACTTGTGGCCTTGTGAAAGAAACGTGTTTAAATAAGTTTGGATTGGAGAGGTTTATGAGGTTGTTGTGTGAACAAAGCACATTTCAGACAATGTGTGACTCTTCCCACTGTTAGCAGTCAGCTGGCAATCGCCGTGTCAACACAAACACAATGTTCGCGTGTTTCTATTCTCTCAATATTAACATGCCACGTTCCATGTGTCGTCTTTCTGATGACCTTCCCCCTTCACGACTTCCAGCAAACAGTGGGCGATATCGTTTTTATATATCCTTTATTGAAAGGATATTTATTTCAAATAGTTTATAAAGGGGAAATGCTCGAGGCAAATAACTGGAACCAGCTTGCCTAGAAATGGTTGAACAAAGGCATGTTGTCCAGAATGCACATTGTCACATGTTTAGAGCTCAATGTATATGGCAGTTCTTCCTGGTCATCACTCAAAGTGTCAACACTTCATTCTCATCACTTGATAGATCATCAGTTCTTGGTCATCACTTGATGAATCATCACTTCCTGGTCATCACTTGATGAATCATTGGTTCCTCATCATCACTTCCTGGTCATCACTTCGATGAATCATTGGTTCCTGGTCATCACTGATGAATCATTGGTTCCTGGTCATCACCGATGAATCATTGGTTCCTGGTCATCACCGATGAATCATTGGTTCCTGGTCATCACTTGATGAATCATCAGTTCCTGGTCATCACTTCCTGGTCTTCGCTTGTTGAATCATCACTTCCTGATCATCACTTGATGAATCATCACTTCCTGATCATCACTTGATGAACCATCACTTCCTGATCATCACGTCTTCACGGGTCATCACGTCCTCATCAACACCATGACATTAGTCTTTCCTCCTGGTGACTTATCGGCACGGAGCCTTTGATGATTAACCTTTACACATGATCAAGATAGACTGGACCAAGCTTCCTATCTATGACTTTGTGACAAATTTAGTAGAAGGCAATTATTTGTAGAGAAATATCACCATGGGAACATGTAAAAAACTGAAATTGCTGCAGGAAAAGGAGAGTAATGGATAAGAATGTAAACCTGACACGATGGACAGTTACAACAATATTTCTGACTCTGACAGAACAGTAATCTACCATAGTTTACAGTTAAATTATCTTCTCCACTCAAACTGACTGACAGCTTTCTAGTATGTGCATGGTTTTAATTGAATCATACTTGATTAGCTCAAACTTACAGCTCTAGGAAATGTTAATTTATACAGCCTTTTCTAATATTTGGAGCCTGCCAGTTTTGATTGACTAATATGTGAAATTCTCACCTTTAGAGAAAGGAAAGAACACGCCACAGACAATATTTTAAACCTGACTGATTTGTGTTGGTTCTGCACAAGTATTACACTTTACTCTCCAGCAACTAAACTTATTTAAAACTCAGCCTAGAACTCCCCTCTGTGGGATGAGAATCAAAGCGTGTGGCAGTCTATGGTCACATTGACCATCTGACACAATCTATCCCATACAGAGTTCCCCTAATGCATGTAAGGTAAAAATGGAGAAATGGTTGCTTCCTTAAAAGCAGGATTTTGAGGATACATTTCCTAGGTTCAATATGAATTTAAACCACAAACATTGGGAAAGAAAGAGCTTAATTTTCTGAGAATTCCTTTGTGAGTTTACTTGAGTCCATTTACAGGATGCAAGAGTGACCACATGAAAATATGGAGGAAGTGTGACTCACCTGAGAAAGTACTCCAACACGATGACGAAGGTGAGGATGAGAAGTTCAAGGACAAAGGTGGCACACAGGAGAATGTTGCGATACCCATCCTGCCTCACCACATAGTCTGAGTTTCTTTCTGAATTCATATATGGTCTTCCATGGATGTCTGTATAGTCCTGAGAGTCCATCCGCTCAAAATGGTCATCGGCCATTCTTCCATGCCCTCACCTGTAATACAGAACATGGTCTCAAAACTGATTCTTCAGCCATATTGAAACCCAGTATATGATTGGTCCGATAGCTTCACCAGTGGACATCACCATGTCCAGATGTGTTCAGTAAGGTGCTCTGATAACCATCTGCATGATTTCTTTAAACAACTATTTTTAGTCTCGCATATTTTCATACTGAAAAGTTAGTGAAAACTAAATTATGATGATGAATGGCTATCTGGCATGACAGACATCAGACATATACAGTGGACAATCATGGAAGAATCTGAGAGTTTAAGTTTCTTTTAATATTTTGCCTTCACTTTGCTCAGACAGGCTCTGATTATTTTTCATGTGATTGAGATGGAAGTATCAATATCGTTAGAGGTTTAGGGTTGGTGTACGTACATACTCGTATAAGTCTCAATGTCTTAGTTTCTCATCTGACTAAGAAAATCAAAACCATAGGAATTAGTCTTGTGTTTTTTAATACAATGCATCGACAAATCTGAAATAACAAAATATTGTTGTTACTAATGTTTTGAAACTGCTGCTTGGCATGTAATAGATGCAATTAGAGTCAAATATGTTTTATGACAAATACAAGGATATCACCCTAGTTAGAAACTTTGAATTTTTATTCCTGGAAGAATTCTGCAGACTCAAAGTAATGGAATCACAGAACTGTCACTATTGATTGGATATATCTGATGATAAAGGACATATTGTTCCACACAGATGGTTATATGTCAAGAATGATTTCAGTAGACAGAGATAGTTCATTCCATTATAGGAACACTGTATTCTGTTTATAAGCATGCTATTTCTGATACAAAACAAATAATGTAATCAAACTCCTACTCATCTCCTACACTGATATCTTTTTGCTCCATAGCTATTGATCACAGTATGTAACTCAACATTCTGATCCTCTTCATCAAAACTGAAAAATCAGTTCATGAAAACATCAACTGAGCATGACATGCTGTACCTCCAAGCAGATGAACTATTGACAGGGTCTGAAAGCAGCTAAACTATTCATAGGATCCGATATCGTCTGTGCTAATCAACTCCAATACAAAGTGTTTGTGATACAACTCACAGTTCTGAATATAGAACAAGCGGACAATGCTTTATACAACCGAGTTCACTGTTCAGATAATAGAGCCACTATACCAGATGAAATCCTCTTTATTTGGCTTGATGATCAAATATTTTCTGGAATGTTTGTAATGTTTATTGAGTGTTACACTCATCTCCACTGAAAGATGTTCAATATTTTCTTTCAGCTTCCCTCTGAGGTCCAATATAGAGCTTGATTATGTCACTTAACTGCATCAAAACCAAAACAATAAAACCACTCAAATATAGCTGGAAAAGATATTGGGATAAATAGAATCTAATATCCTAAATTTCAACAGTTAATATCCTTGTAACAACAATATGGGGAGTTTGACACATACTCTTCTATATTTGGTATCAGTATTTCAACACAGGCATTACACCAACCAGACAGGAGAGACATATTCTATTTCATTGAACTACTTCTTCAACTGCCTAAGAACCAATGAAATCTGGATTAAAATTTTCCACAATATTTTTGAAGAAAGAAATAAAACTTTTCTGAGAAATTAATTCATCATGTTCTTGAATTTGAATTATTTGTATAGACTCAAGACTTATTCTCATAATTATTTCAACTTTATTGTAAAACATTTAAAACTAAATAAACAATTCTGTTATCAGTGATAATATATCTAAAGATCTAGTAACACCATTTTAAACCTGACCCATAATCTTGTTTCTGTGCAACAACCATATTTTCTTTCAATTGAAACCCATGAAGGTCCGGGTTAGAATGAACCTTCGGTGACCCATGCTTGTCGTAAGAGGCAACTAACGGGATCGGGTGGTCAGACTCACTGGCTTGGTTGACACATGTCATCGGTTCCCAATTGTGCAGATCAATGCTCATGCTGTTGATCACTGGATTGTTTGATCCAGACTCGATTATTTACTGACCGCCACCATATAGCTGGAATGTTGCCGAGAGCGGCGTAAAACTAAACTCACTCACTCACTCACTCTTTCACTTGAATTTTAATGATTGCTTCTAAATCTTCAGGCCAATAACATTATTGTTCTGTTGAACGGTTGTTCAGATGATCCCGGATACGGAATTTCCAACTGTGAAGCAATGTTAAATAAATTCAACATGTCCAAATTGTAAAGACAGACAAAATTATTGAACATGCTTACATGACAAACAACATTCTTATATTTTCAGATTTTGGACATCTGAATGTTTCTGAGTGAAGAAGAATTCATAGTTAACTCAGACTTTTCAGGCTCAAAGAGATAAGCTAACTATGATCAACACATATTAGCTTTCGGCTCAGTAGATGAATCAGTTATGCTGATGCCAGCATTGGTGACAGACAGATTCCTCCTCCATTAGATGTATGGCCCTCACATGAACAGTAAATAATCTACAAAATACCAGACGTCTGCAACACATATTCATATTGTCTGCCGTAACTCTTGACATGAAGAACATGTATAACTGATGCCATTAGGGCCAGATAATCCACTGGATTAACCCACAACAGGTAACCTTCAGTATGCCGATGTACAGCCTGTGAACAAGAAAAGAACTGCTGTTTAACAAATACTTGAAATAACCTACAAGTAACCCGTGTTCCAGTGGCCAGTCTAGTCCAGTGTGTTTAATCAGCAGCTGGACCCAACTTTGGCCATGGCTTATGGCAGATTTCGTCTGACCAGCTGACACCATTGGGGTGTACAAACATCAGATGGGGGAACAGTCATTTCAATATTGACCGTTATGGGTACAACACTGACCATGAAGCATCCTGGGAATTTCAAAACTCAAACAGTCAAAATAGCTGAGAGAAAAAACACCAAACTACAAAGAGAGCAGGGGAATATTAGCTTTACAACTCCTTGAAAGACAGGAGCATCAACAAGCAATTATTGTTAACATCGTATGTCTTTAGTATTATCCTCATAGATGTGTGTGATAAAAGCAATCCTGAAGATTATATAACGTAAACATTGGTTTTCATCTAAAAGGTGAATACATGACACGCTTTATGGATAACAACTTATCTTTATTTCTTATCACAACATTTCAGAAATAACAACTGAAAGCTAATTCTTGCTTCTTCATCATTCACCTGATGAAGGAGCAAGATTTAGTTCTGAAACATCGTGATAAAGAATAAAAAGATGTACTAGAATCTGTACTTTACTGAGAAAGTGTAATCCCAATAATAACATATGTTACATTTGACCACTTTCTAAAATGGCATTGTGTATTTCATAAAAAGAAGTTGTTATCCATAACATGTGTTGTGTATTCATCATCATCCAACTTCCAAATGCCTTTCAAGAACTTAAAAATGAAGGTGCCAAATATATAATTTTAACTTCATCTGAACAGATATAGAAAATTTCATTAAATAAGCATCTACTAAAAATAATTCTAAGCATGGTATGAATACAGAACTTTTTATCAATTTCATAAGAGTGTTAGGAAAGAAAAGACATGAGATGAACATATTTATTGCATTAATGAACTTTTCTACAGATATTTTATCAAGTAAAGTTGATAACATTACAAACTGGTACTCCTTGTTTTGGTTAGAGAAGAACATCTAAAATGAAGGTGTTGAATATATAATTTTAACTTCACTTCAACAGATGAAGAGAATTTCATTACATAAACATCTACAAAAAAATCATCCTTAGCATGGTATGAATATGGAACTTTTTATGTATTTCATGAGTGTTAGGGAAGAAAAGACATAATGTGAAAACATATTTTGCATTAAAAAGCTTTTTTTCAAAATATTAATTATTTGGTTTGAGACAATACAAAGTAACAACCAAGTTTGTGCTGTATTACAAAAAAAAAAAAGTAAAATAATTATTTCAAAGCAGACATTCTCCTTCATGTTTTCAACAAGTATCCTGTAATTCTCCTTACATTTCTAAAAACCCTTTAATGTTTGCATTTTTCAAATTTGGCAAAATGTTCAATCAAGTTAAACACCTTAATACAATCATTTAACTTTGATACAATAAATTTTCTTGGCAAACTGATAAAAAGTGACAATCTGTAGAACACATCAAACCTTCAGTTGTTTAAAGTATCATCTAGGCTTGGGAAGATCAAAGCAGCATGAATACAACTGGGAGACGAAGAGGCCATGATGCCAAATGGTTCACTGGCTTTGTTTACAGGTGAGACCCCAGTGACAACCTCTCCGGCCACTGACCACTACATCGCAGAAAGCGATGAAGTTGGCAAAATCTCTGAGTATAGGATGAAACTCCAGTAAGAAAGATAATCCACCCTGGCTTCCTCTTTTGCCGTGTCTTAAAGACCTGGTTCTTCCAGCAAGCTACTCAAGGTCATCGGTTGACCTTTCAGTGTCTATGACAAGAATGCTGCTAAGCTTCAGAAAATCATCTAATCCCAGAGATCTCAATATTTGGGGTTTTCATATTTTTAAGTTTTCAGCCCTTTTAGGCAATTGGTGGATCTAGGGACATTATTCGAAATAGACTTTTTGTTAAATATGTAAACCTTTCTGTCCCTGAAGTGTTTAATATGGTTGGCGTATATTACCTGTTAATGTAATTGTTGAAACAGAATCTAACTGTGTGTTTACAATGAAATCCAAAGTCAAAAGTCAGGGAAACAAGAAAATACAAACATTAAAACTCTAGCAGTGTTTGATTTAAGGAGCACAGTATGCTATCCTGGCTTCAAAGCAACTGCTGGTAATCTTTTTGGACAGACTGTATTCTTACTTTACTGATTCTAGCAATTTTTCCCAAATATATATATATATATAGCGGTATTGTTTTTGATTGAAAATATTCTTTTCACATTTTGACTTTTAACCCTTTTTTAAAGTGTTTTGTAAGCAATATGACCTCAAGTCAGTATCATGAGAAACTTTTTCCCTATTTTGTTTTGACTGCATGTTTGCAACATTGATCTACACATACATACATACCACATACAGCAAACATAGACGCAAGATAACAACCTGCTCATGTTATAAAACAACATCACTTTCAAGATAGTTGGCAGCTGTTTGCTACATAACATTTCCATCAAGCTATCAAACACTTATAATGTATCCTGGGAAATTTTGCAGAGCTGATAAAATCTTTAAAAACATGTCTAATATAAACCACATGTCAGGTCAACTTGACACTGGAAGAGATTCAAGACATCAAGTCAAATATGTACATCCTGTCTCAACTCATATCTGTGGACACGGTCCAGGAACTTGGATCTCAGAGCTAACAGAAACAACAAACGTTACATGACACAACACAACATTACATGACGTTATCGGTGTTAGTTCAAGGATTTTCAAGATCTTAAAGACAGGATCTTGAAGAGAAATGTAAATCTTTAATAAAATTACAGACAATCAACTCGTCTTTCTAAGCATCAGTTCCATCTTCCAACAATGACAGGTTATGAAAGAATTTACCTAGTTTGCAAATGTGAAAGAGCATGATTTAAATTTGTATGTCAGATTGAAATTATTATTTTTAACATCTTGCTGCAATATTTGTCCAAACATTTATTTGAAAGCTGCCTTTAGGAGATTTCCCTGAATCCGTACATTTTCTTATTTTCTGGTTTCTTAAAAAATGACCAACGTAGGTCCATAAAACCATAAAACAATAAAATGCAGAAACTTTATCTAGAAAAGAGTTTAGCAATTTGGTCTTATTAACTGTGACATCACACAAATATCATACATGTAATATATTTAATTACAAATTACAAAAACACAAAATACTTGATTTCCCATAATTATCTATAATCCATCTGCAGACAAAAGATTAGCCAGTATTAAATTTAAGTTATTTAAGTAAAATTTAACAAACTTTCAAAACCCCAGCATAAAAAGTACTAAATGGCCTCATAAAAACAGTGAACACTTTATAAAACTACCTAAGTGCCCAATGAAATAATGAATAAACCATCTAAGCATGAACAGGAACAAAACATGCAGAAGAGAACATTAATAGTCCAGTGTTTTAAGAAGTGAAAAAACTATTCTGAAGAGCAAAAAGTTTTAAAACCCTAATACTCACAGAGTTCAGATTTGGTCACACATACTCAACACACATGCTCCCTGTGACGGTGTGAGTGTATTTCTGTGTTATGAAGCACTCCACCCAGAGCTTCCTCTACAAGCTCCGAGTGTCTCACTGTATCCAATGTTTGTGCAGAAATCGCCTGCTACGTCTCCCTCGACTTCCCCTCTCCCATGCTCACACAAGACACGACTAATTACTAGAGAATTTTATCTTGCACTAATATCACATTCAGCTTGAGTGGATGTTCAAATGTCTCAGTGTGCAGAAGCATCCGTTTCAGCTTGGTCTAGAATCTGTTAATAAATTTGATAAGTAATGTCACTCTGTCTTCTGCAAACCCTTATAAAATAATTGTATTTGAGCAGACACGAGTATCTGGATATAAACGGACAAAACTAGTATTTGGATGGATGGATGGATGGATGGATGGATGGACAAATACATAAATAAATCAGTGTGAGTAGGCAGTGTTTAGCACAGACAATTACAGTATCATAATTTTCAATTTGTGATTTCTGCGTCTTGGTGAAAGAATTAGTTACCTTGATCAATGCCTGCCTGTGTTGAGGTGAAGAACATAGACACAGGTCAATGTGGAAGGATAGGAAATGTTGACCACATGTGTCAGGTGTCTATAGGGGACTGACCATTTATCATAGACGAGGAGGGTAGTGAGATGCTGAGATAAGGGGTCATACAAAATACACAGTTTTGTTTTTCACACAAATAACTTATTAACTTAAACATTATACAGGAAGTAATAAGTTTTAAGAAAGTTTCTTATATATTGTTTAGAAAGGCCCTGTCTGCAACTAAAAAGTAATATATGTGATATATACAGTCACATTTAGAATCTGCTTTACTACTGTCATTACTGTTGTTGCTCCAACAGTATGGTAGAGTATGACTGACTGACTGACTGAGTTTGGTTTTACCCCGCTTTTAGCAATATTCCAGCAACATCACGGCGGGGGACACCAGAAATGGGCTGCAGGTAGAGTATGAAGCTCTGTGGTTAAAGTGTTAGCTTGAAGAATGTTCAGTCCTCAAGATGGGCAGAATGTGTTCCTGCCTTTACTGTAGTACTACCTACCGACTGTCAGGTACAACACATTGATATTATTACCTTGTAATCAGATAACATGAATATTTAATAAAAATGTAAATAATACGCATACTATCAAAATCTCTTCACAAGAATATTGTACAGCTTCTCTTGTATTGAACAAACAGATAATGATGTCAAGCAAATACAGTTACACATTATAGTTGTACATATGTAATTGTGTATTACATGACTTTGATTGTGTAAACATTTATCTTAACGGTACATGGATGTTTGGACTTCATTAGGTTTCATAAAAAATGAAATGCCTATATCTGTGGACGTTGCACAGATGCAATCAATCCAAGAGTGAGTCGTGATTAATTGGTATTTATCTTGTCATTCTGCTTCACACCTTCAAGATTGTGTAATAGAGTAAGGATATCTCACCACATTCTCCTGTCCACAACTACCTTCAAGATTGTGTAATAGAGTAAGGATATCTCACCACATTCTCCTGTCCACAACTACCTTCAAGATTGTGTAATAGAGTAAGGATATCTCACCACATTCTCCTGTCCACAACTACCTTCAAGATTGTGTAATAGAGTAAGGATATCCCACCACATTCTCCTGTCCACAACTACCTTCAAGATTGTGTAATAGAGTAAGGATATCTCACCACATTCTCCTGTCCACAACTACCTTCAAGATTGTGTAATAGAGTAAGGATATCTCACCACATTCTCCTGTCCACAACTACCTTCAAGATTGTGTTATAGAGTAAGGATATCTCACCACATTCTCCTGTCCACAACTACCTTCAAGATTGTGTAATAGAGTAAGGATATCTCACCACATTCTCCTGTCCACAAGTACCTTCAAGATTGTGTTATAGAGTAAGGATATCTCACCACATTCTCCTGTCCACAACTACCTTCAAGATTGTGTAATAGAGTAAGGATATCTCACCACATTCTCCTGTCCACAAGTACCTTCAAGATTGTGTAATAGAGTAAGGATATCTCACCACATTCTCCTGTCCACAAGTACCCATCATTCCTAGACACAGGTCACTTCCTTCGTGTATGCCACTCTCTGAAATCATCAGCTGAAATATGCCATCAACGACCAGTATTTCCTTCACGTAAGGGTCAGTTTGTCATGGTTGTCTTAGTATCAATAACAGAACTAAACAAAAAACCCAGAGCTATTGAAATATATACAATACAATAACTATTGTCCTAAAATAGGATTAATTGTGAAACATGTTCCCCGTAAGCCATTTTCTTAAACGATGTATGCCCTCGTACCAAGAAAGCGTTAACGTATTGAGTGGGATATCTTGATGAAGTATTAGGTCAGGATATTGTAGGAAAGGTTGTTGCCATAGACTCCCGGACTGCGCTATTAAGATGAATGCTCAACAAGCCTATTATTGACCTTTCATAATTACGCTGTATTGGAAAGTCAGTTAAATGGGAGCGAATCAATGTTTAGTAAATACAAGCCAGGTAGTCCCAGCATGCCAAGCGGCCCACGAACGACCTAGGATTAAGTTAAACAGTGCATTTAAGCAAACACTTGAATGGCTTGTTGGCTAAGATTTGTTTAAATAAAACATTGATGAATTTTTTTTGCAAACAAAGAATATAAACATGGATGCTAAATGGACAGCTTGATGAACAGTTTATGCGGATTTAACAAACTCCGGGGAATTGTTTTTATTACAACCAAAACATGTACCAAACAGTAGTTTTATGGACAGTTTCATTGCGTGATTGAAACTATGTTAGAGAGTACAGTTTTAGTCAATATTTTTTTAACAAAGATGACACAACATTTATTACATACAATTTCACATTTGTTGACAAATTTGTTCATATTTATACTCAAACAATTTTTTCATTATTCAAACTGCTGTTGTCTTGTTTAACACTGCACGCAGCAATAACTTAGTCATGAACTGCTCATACTAGCAAGCACATTCTCATTTCTAGACCTGGGAAAATTTGCTCTGAAAAATCTTAAATATTTGAAACACTAGGAAACAATGGCATCACAGTAAAAAAGCCTCATAGCTGACAAGTTCTAATACATTTAGAGGATATTTATCCACTCTCGTTTATACAATTATCTCATAGAATGATAACATTTACATAAATATGTTGATCTTTTCCTTGTTAGGTTCCACTAGTTAATCAGTACTCCAAACATCAGGCTTCACAGAGATTTGAATGTGGATTGAACAATCAGGAAACTGTGATTGGATGATTTTCTGTTAGATTTTTAAGTTCTCTAAATGTACATCCATTCGGGAATAAAAAGAATATTTTTCAATATTAAGTGGTCTTTTTTAAAAATGATGTGTACATAATTTCAAGCAGGTAATATTTGATACGTAAGTGGCATGCATACTCAGAGAAGGAACTGGCTAAGACAGCTAGATTTGATTTTTGATGCCTTAAGCTTTAAAACAAAAATGTACGAAATGTAACTATAAATGTCTATCAGAATATTCTTGTTTTCT